AGAAAATCGCAGAGGAAACGATCTTTAAACAACAGGGAACGAGTGATTCAATATCCAGCTAACATTAAACTTGTACTCTTTGCGAATGCGACGATAATACCGTAGTTGAGGTTTTAGCCCAGAAAGTTATTATTCTATCGAATCACTTTTATTGTTCATTTTACTTTTCAAATAAGTAGTCTCTGGCGTGAGAAACGACCTAAAACAGTTACTATAAAAAAGAAAATATCTGTGGAATTCGGTATAAAGTGTTCAAATATTGTCATGTATTTTTTGCATTCGCTACATTATTCTTAGTATTATGTGATAATATTTAGGAAAAACATCTTTTTACTTGTGCTGCCATACTGCACAAAAGCAATACGGACAAAAAAGGGAGGTGTGAGACTAACAGCCCCACTGATATTAATAAGTACATAAATAACTAAGTGACTAAAACTTTTAATTTGTAAAAGAATGCATAATATGGACGAGCAAAACTTTGTGAGGCACCTACCTTGAAACACTACTCGGCAAATTAAGGTTGATACTCCTCATCATTACATATACGTAATAATGTCATTTGCTTTAGTGATGAACTCCATTAAGCTATGTAAAGTAGTACAATATTTGGGAGTTGTAAAAATAGTTTATAGTTATTAGAAGAGGTTTCACTGAAGAACTTTTTTCTAAATGTTAGTGTACATTCCCAAATAAAATAATTAATATCTACCTCATTTAGTTTTCCTCATTTACATCCGACATTCACTTTGAAGAAACGATTTATATATTGCTAAAAATGTCTTTTAATCGTTGCCTCGATCGAGGACAGTCATATTATTTTATAATTATCTGAGTAAGATGCTCTTTAATTTAATTGCTTGGAAATTATCAGAATATTGTAAATTTAAAAATAAGAACGGGATATTCATTTTTAGTCTGAGTTTAGGAAACTTAGTCATGTTTTTCAATTAAATGAAGCAACTTCATTGCTCTATAAACTAAAGAATTTTGTTGAATATACATGATCTGAAAATGTTTCCGGGAAATTCAAGTAAAGTGATTGTAAATATAAACGTTTTTTTGAAATATGCGTTAAAACTAAATGTAATTTTGTGCATGCTTGTAAAATGGAAATAAGCGTCTATGTATGAGAGCGTTAAAGTCAAGCTAATAGTAGCATTTAAGTTAAAAGTAAAAACTAGCTTGAGAATGCATGAAATTTAAATTTCGGCCCTCCAAACCAATATTAAATTAATTCTTTCACCAGAATTAGCTTTTCAAGGCTTAGAATTGAATGTAGGGTGTATTTTTGAGGTCTAGTATGTCAGAATTCTAACATGCATGCAGTTCGATTAGGCTGTAGTGTTCAGCACGCTTCACATGAACACACGCTCTCATTTCAGTACACCTCGCTAGAGAGCAGGGAGAGAGATTTTAAAGTTGGAAAGAATGTGGTGAATAAAAGTTCCCTATGTGATTTAAGTGAAAATAAATCTATTTTTGGAAAACATAGTGAAAGTTGAGTGAATACGTTACATGCATTAGATTTGTTCTAAACTACTTTCCCTCGAGAGGACTGGGATGAGACAAGATGACAAAGCACTGTATATGTAATGCAAGTCGTACGATATTTTGTCTGTGAAAACTAATTTAAGAAATTTTAAGAATTAACATTTTATGAAGTTTGACTCAGTGTTAGGGTTAGAATTAAATTATCTTTATCAAGATCATTAAAGACCTTTTATTGACGATAACTAAATTCTTTTGATGTAAGATATAGGGTTTATATTATTTTTATTAATAGTTATTTTAATTTGTTACCTTTTTTCGTAATTCCTTGTTTTCCTTGTGTTTACACGCCAGGATATAAATGGGTTAGGGTTAACGAGAGTGTATTTAAGCTAAAGTAACGAAAAGGTTAGTCAGAGCGTGTTTTTGCTATTGAGCGCGCACGTTGTTATTTCTACTAACTGTTTAAATTTTGAATCTCGGCTTCGCATTCCTGCCGCCCGCTTAGTTAGAATCATGCCGGTGTAGGTTTCTGAGTCAACCTGCTAGCAGCAGCTAGCAAATCAAAGCAGACTATTCATTTCTGTTGCCTGAAATAAATACATATTTTCATTTCTTGGTTTTAGGTAATTTATACATAATTAATGCTTCTAAGTATATGAAACAAGAATTGTCTTATAATTCTAAGTTTCTATCAGTACGTATCGGACATGTATTAAATAATTCATGAAAAAAAGGTTGCTTTTATTATGAACTACACAGTGTTAGTTTTTAGCTACGTAGTATGCAAAATTCGAGCATTTTGAAGGCCATTCGAGTTAACACAAATTAATCATCTTAAGCTGCATAAATCTAAGTCATTTAGTATATAGACGTCACAAAGATGAATATGAGAATTCAAAAAGTCAACAGAATTTCTCATAAATGGGGTTGCAGAACAAAACTCCATGAAGCCGAATAATTCTAAATATGATGAAATACGCTGCCAATATGTTTTGAAAGATTTCCTTAAAAATGAGAGCAGATCTTCTTGTTTCTATATTTTGCAGTTACAGCAAAGTTTTTCTCTTTCTCCCATTTTTTAAAATGTCATCACAACCTTCGTTCAAAGCTAAACAGCGATTTTCTTCGAAAGCATTCCATTGAAGAAAGGAACAGTTGAAATTGTTGATAGCTTATACATACACACATACGTGTATATACATATATATATATATATATACAAAAGTGTTTTATTTTTAGAATTTATATGTATCGCAAAAGGGTTTTATTTTTAGAACTGATATGCCGTATTTGCAACGTTTTGGGATTTCTTTGATATTATTTATTGAGGAAATTCAAAATCTTAGAGCATATTTAAGTATGAAACTTCTTATAAATTTGATGTCAGACAAAGAAGGAAAGTTCACTTCTGTGTTACAACGTTAACGTCTTTGAATGTTATTCTAATTACAAAGTAAAAACTGCTTCTTATGCACTATGTATTGGAAAACTTAGCAGAAATCCTCTTCAAAAGATTCCTTGGTTGTTTTATTTCAGTATTTGAAGATGATGAATATAGCTATATCTTTCGACCTTGCGGATATAGATTTTAGTGGTTTATTATGACTAAAATGCCGTGTTACATAACTTCGTTGTATCCAGAAGTTCGTCGGACACCTTGAGCAATTCGTCAAACTGATGTTGTTATTTTGCGGAATATCATGAAAATTTTTCAGGCTTTGATAATACAAAAGTAATTACTTTTCTAATGAGATTTTTTTAAACTTAAATCACATTATTATGCCTGTGAGAGTTTTACGTATATACTTCAAGAATTTTTTCCAGAATTTTATTCCTAACACCATGTAACTTAAAAGCTTCTAATTTCCTTTCACCTTAAAGTTTTGATACATACAATATAGGATTCACCTCAACCCAGGGCCCACCAGCGGCTGGGCGGTAAAGTCGCTGAACACTGTTAGTTCGGTCCGAGGTTCGAATCCCGCGAACGGGCTGGCTGCATGGGGTTTTTCGTAGTTTTCCCAGGTGTAACGCATATACGAGCCAGTTTCTCTTAGGAAGTCCTCCACGAGGCAATCCCCCCTTAGGCAGATAGCCCTCGAGGCTTTGCCGTAATTAAATGACCTAACCTCAACCCAGATTTAGTTATTTTACAGCCCAATGACGGGGATTACATCTCTCTTTTCACAAATGCATCTTTGCGTCTTTCTAACACTTATTGTCATTCTGTCATTCACGTTGCATGTAAATTTAGATAATCACTTCTAGATTTATAATTATGACTACTTGGTCTGAGCCATCAAAACTTCGCGAAAAAGGGGCAAATTTTGAGATGTAGATTATAACAATGATCGAATAGCTGAAATGGCTAAATTTCATGTAATCTAATATACGGAACATGTGTAGTTACATATTACGCATTCATTCAAATAACGATAGCAAGTTAGTGTACGTGCATAAATTATAACGTATCTCTACCCTACATACTACCTATAAGCCTTTATTATATACGAGTATATTACATTTAATACCTATAAGCATATCTATGCTGCATAGAGAAAGGAAAGTTTTCATATTAATGACACATTCTGCGTAAATTTTTATGCGTTTTAAATAGAAAGTTTTACGATATTCGAATAAGATCCTAGATTTTGAAAAGGAAAACATCTAATTTTCAAGATTTTGAATTTTATTACAAAAGCAAATGAAAACTTGAAAAATTACTTGAAGATAAATATTATAGTTATCACTGCTAATATTGACTAAAATTACTTTACCCTTTTGCCCACTTACTAATGGGAAAACAAGTCGAGATTAATTAAGTTCTCGTTTGAAACTTAATCGAGCTAAAGGTTTCGATTTCAGAAAATCGGAAACACAATAAAAAACACTTTTTATCATTCCTCATTAGAAAGCTCAACTGACTCGTTTGCAAAATCAGTTTTATATTCTAACCATAAATGAGTTTAAAGATAAAATTAAGTGTTCCATTTTCTATAATGGAACAATTAATTATTTATCTATAAAATTATTATTAACAATTAACAATTATTATCTATTAACAATTATTTATTTATGAATAACTGAAGTTATGAATTACCTCAAAATTTTAATTTAGTTATTTAATCCTAAGACTAGCCTTACATTTATCTTTTCTTCATGCTTACGGCTGAGTTAAATGAATTTACCTACATGACAATTTTGGAGGAATTTACTGAGAGAAAACAGCGAAAAAATTTTTAAAAATACTATCAGCGCTTTTGAAGATAAGAACCTTTGAAATGAATTCGCTATCTAAGTGCTTTTGATGCAAATTTCATCTTATTTTCCCCTCTACTTCTTTCGAACTCTTGGCGCTGCAAGTGATGTCGTGACTGACACTAATCCACGCACTGTTTCTTTCTGAGATCTACTCCGGTAACCGATAGATGGCTCTGGTATAGAGTAACGGTTGTAGAAGGCGAAAACCTGGTAAATTTGCTGCAGCGGAATACCAGAACCTTGGTGTTTCACATCTCTCTCTCGACTCTAGTGTTCCCATCTCTATAATCCGAATTCCAACTTCGATGAACACAAGTCGCTCATTAAGTGGCAAACAAGTGAGAAGAAAATAAATTGATGCATGGATTTAAGTGTATGCGAGTCGAAATTCCGTGCAGTGAAAACTAATATCATGCGAAATAACACTTTTTGGTAGACTCGCTTGTTTGATCATTTCAAAGTAAAAAAGAAAAAAAATGTATGCAACGGAAAAAAGGATTTTTTTAAGAAAAGCTGTAGCACTACGAAATCCATAATTAAAGCAATCAAGCGAATGCTTTTCGCGCACGCCTGAAGGCGGCAAAGAGCTTCGTATTCAAACGAACGGTGAGTTTTTTTCCCTTTCCTTTTCATTAAGTATATTGTGCGTTTATATTACAACTTTATTGCGCTATTGGTACATCTTACCAACCTTTTTTGTATAACAAAAAAGTATCTGTTGTACTACTCAGTGTAAAATGAACTGCTTCGCAATCTATTCATGCTTAAGAATATTAAGAAATAAATTCCTTAAGTTGAAAAACTCAGAAAATAAAGATTAAGCGACCATTTTCAATTTTACAGTTGTTATATCCTTAATGCAGAGAAGGAAAGCCAACAATATTCATTAAGCAATGGATTTTCAATGATAATGTATTCTTGAGCGTCTCCACTAAGAGCACGTTCACTGAAAAAACATATAAATATATATAACAGCTTCCTCTGCATAACAAGGTACTATCTGATATTCAATTATTCATATGAACATTACAATATGTATAGTTCTAGTTTTAACATATACATTAATAATAATCAAGGCATGGGTAGCTTAAGACTGTTAGTCCAATAACATGCATTTTTGCGAAATTAATAAATTTCTAAATCTCAGCACTAAGAGGGAAATGCAATATAAAATATATAATATTTATAATTGAACTTTTCTTTATGTTTCCTGTTTTGATTTTACATTATTTGAAACTTTGTAAGACTTTAAATTCATTCATTTTCTTATTGGGCTTTAGAGAAAACTATTTGAAGATATGCAATATTTGTGTACTGGAGTACGTGGAATAAAGTAAATAGAAACAAATGGCTTAAAAATTTTATTTAAAATCTCCATTTATGTTACATATCTCATCGCTATTATCTTGACGTCGTTTACGTTATTTATATTATAAAAGAACACTTCAGCGTAAGAATGTCTTTCTTAATCGTTTGCTTTCCATTTTATTGCAATAATTAAAAATATTAAGAAAAAATGCACAGTTAGAATAATAAAATGTTTCGAAACAACCTACGTAATTAGAGAAAGGCTATATTTCAGCTTTTATTGCAAATCGGGTACCTACAATATAGATGTGTAGTTTCATACTATGGAATACGCAGCAAAAAATGAGAGTTGCATTCTAAGCATAATAAGCAACTTTAAAGAATACGTTTTTCATATTTAAGAAAGATTTAAGAGCTGTAATTGCGCCTGATTACCACTATCACTACTGGATTAATATCCAAAATATAATCTTTACACGCAACTACATTTGTGCATTGCAATGTGAGAATAGTTTTTTGCATTATATTTATATATATGCAACAGACGAGAATATATTTTTGAATATATGCTAATAAGTTATTTGATGGTATATAGGAGGGAATTATATTCAACCTCTCTCTGATTATATATGTATATATATGATGTTAATAGAAAATCAGTTTTTAACGTAAAATATTACTGTGAATAGTCCTGAGTTAATACTCAGGACAATTCACAGTAATAATCGAAAATGCTGAGTCCACAGCATTTTCGATTTTTAAACTCAGTTTCTAATAAAATGTAATAGTAAAATATTGTTAACAGCTCTGATGTGATCTTTATTCTGAGTATAAATTATTAACTAAAATATTACTTTAAAAATGCGTGGAAAGACATCTACGTGTTGTCTACAACAACTGCAAACAAATACAGGATGAATGGAAATACCTACAAATGAAATAAAAGGGATAAACTTTTATTTTAAACTTTTGCGTTCTGGTAAGATAAATTAAAAGAAATCCTTTATTCTTTCACTTTACTGGAAAACTGATGTATAATGTAGCAGGGTAAGTAAATAGAGCAAGTAGCGTTTGATAGAACTTGTAATCATTCTGTCTTTCCTCGGACTAGACTGTAAAATTTAAAAACCTATGTCTCCAGAATTCCAAGGTAAAGTAAGATAATTGTGCTTATTATTCCACTCAATAACCTTTTTTCCCGTTTGACTGATATATTCCACTGAACCCAACATACAATGACACAGATTTCCATGCAAAGATTTGTACTTCTTAATTATAGCTATTTGAGGCTGCTCAGAGTACCTAGTAAGTATAATTAGTGAAGGATCATATTATCTATAATTATATTAATCGGTAAGTACTACTTTCGAATTTGATGAATATTTTCACTTAATAATCGCCTAAGCACTGGATCTTGACAATTTTGACTGGTAGGAAAGAGGCGTAAAAGTAAACCGTTTATAAATCGCTAGTTTTATAACAGGTAAGTACAGTTGCTAATGAATAACGAATTTTGTTTTATAAGGTGTTATATTTTGTTTAAAGAAGCTCTATTATCGACATTCGAGACCCATAACCTTTAACAGATAAGAAACCCTGCCCATAACCGGCCCGTACGGGTTATCCTGCCCGCAACCTTTAACAGATACGAACAACAATTGATAATTTTCTTTTTGTATTAAATAGTTATCGAAGTTTTCCTTTGCAGCATCTCATTTATTAGAATCAAAATGCTTGATAATATCTAAAACAAGGTTGTAAATCTGAAGTTTTCAAACTTTTAAGTAGCGATGCCAGAAAAACAGACTAGTGATCAATCAGTAAGCCTCAATCTTGGCTACTAAGTAAGTGAAGATAACTTCATTTATTAAATGTCTGTTCCGATCAAAATTACTGAATCTGTACCGTATAATAAAATTCAATTTTTAGTAATGCAACAGGAACGTACCAAATATTTTTATTACTAGGTAATTAAACAAGTTCAGGATACAACATTTTTCTGTTACATAGAGTAATCCATTAATCCATTAAATATACCATAATAATCCGAAGAAATGCAGATGCTTGCTTTTCTTCTTCAGGTCCAGCTTATGTAGCTTACATATTACAATAATGCTATAAACTTTGATTAAAAAAAGGGTTTTTGGAAGCAATTTGGAAGCTAGAGACATTTTCGTTATTGAAACAGAATCTGACAAACCTTTTCAAAGATAATTCACGAAGTTAGCTACTAAAATATTTAAATATGGCCCAGATATAACATATCCATCCAGTTAATACGAAATAGCAATTGAATTGGTTATAAAAACTATTAACAATCTTTGCAGTGTCGGTAAGCTTTAAATACTAGAACCACGGAAGCAGTCAAGTTGATTGTTGGTAAATATCTTATATTTCAGTATTTAAGTTTAATTTCAGAACTTCCGTTGAAATGTTTCGTTTTTGCAATATGTAAAATCTCATAACGAATAATGCTTTAGAATAGATTTTGCAAACATCTACACCCAGAGCGGTAGCTATCAGCTTGATCGCCCGCTCACTACAATTCCGAAAACTTGCAGAAAAATTGTTTTCATTACACATAATTTTTGTTGCAATGAAATTAAATAAAATGTTCGTAACTATATACTTTTTCAAAGTGGCAAAAATAAGTCGTATTTTTTATGATCTTTAACGAAGATATTTTCTGATGCGAAAGGAAATAGCCAAGTAGAAAAAAAGTTCATCGCATAATCTTTTCCAGTAGCAATGCGATTGACATTCATGAATCGCGAAAATATATGTAAACAAACTCCGCAATTCGATAGCCTTTTAAGCATAAAATTTTGATTAGTTATTGTTGTAAATTACAATATTTGCTAAATAATTCCAAAGCTATGATTTAAAATATTTGTTAAATAATTTCCCTAGTTTAGAAAAGATAAGCTTCACGCAAAATATGAAAGACTAATGATAAAGCTTGCAAAACTCTCTCAATACAGGAAGCTTTATCGTTACTGTTAATTTCTGCACTTATTGGAAAAGTACAGATTATTTTACGGGGGATGAAACAAAGTGAATCTTCACAAATTATTCTCCAAGAAAATCTATGATCTTCAGTAAAAGGTTTTGTAAATACAGTTCTAATAATGAGTGTAATAAGCAACGGTGACAGCATGCTGAACATGTATTAAAAGAAAATGAACAAAAATACCTGGATTATGAGAAACCTTACGTTCAAATGGGAAAACAGATGGGAAAAAGATTTACAGAAACAGACATATTTTACAAAGTGAAAGATGCAAAAGAATTATTCAGTAAAATCTCCTTCGAGACATCGGCTACTATAGGTAATTCATAATAAATTTAGTCTTGCTGCATAAATAAATGCATGGTCATTTACAAGAAGTTGCTTAGATTACTATCTTCCGGTAAAGCTTTACTCAGGTGCTCGTAAAAGAATTTGAAGAGAACATTGCTGAAAAAAAAGAGACTCGCTAAGTACATTTCTATGCAATAAGAGCGCATTTTCTGTCTATTTAGAAATGTACAGCAAATGCAAATACTTAATACTGTTAATGGTAGCATTAATATTTTATTACTTTATGTTATGAATCATTAGGCTTATTTATCGTAATGAGATAACGGCCGAATTCGCTGAAAGTGGCCATTTAAATGATTCTTAATTTAAACGCATTAAATTTTAATAAGAAATGTGTATGCGAGAACATGCTATAATGCATGTATACTTCAAAGCATGCTTGCTTTTTCTGAATCAGAGGAGGAAACGGATTTTTCTGTTAAGAGCTCTGCTGCGGTCCTTTTCTATATAATATTGTGAGCTTCCATATATTATTAAATAATATTAGTTCTAATGTTTTAACATAAAAGTTAAAATATTATTTATGCTGTCACAGTTAATAGGTCAGTTTACTTTTATCCTTATATATGCGACTCTATACAAGAGTTTATGTACTTTTTAATTGTTTATAAACTCAAAATAAAATTCATAGCAAAGCTTAATTATTATTTTTTTACATACGTACTTATTTTGCTTAACAAATAATAAAAAAGTTTTAAAATTACTTCTTAATAATAGAAGAAAAGTTTTATACTTTTATAATTATAGAAGAAAGCTAAAAGGATCGTATACTGCTTCATATATTAATTAAAAACAAAACGAGTCATCTAAGTAAGAACAGAAAGCATTCATAGAGGTACTTACGCATAAAGTGTAATCTCCCACACATTTAATCAGCCATTATAGAGGACTCTATGCAGCTTTATTCATTAAAATATAAAAAGAATACTTATTGAAT